CGTCAAGTGAAAGTAAGGAGAATCAATGGTGCTAGTGTTATCGTTCGATCCATGGGGCGCGGGCACCAGTCCGGACCGCATGATTATCCCAATTAATTAACGTGGGAGGGTTTTTATAGTAAAGGAGGGTTGTAGGACTCTGACCCAACACGCGTGATTGTGCAAGACAAATCAAGAAGAATTCAGTAGAAAATGAAGCTGTGACCGGCCAACAACTGTACCCACCAGAAGGGGCGGGGGAGGGGGAAGGAGGTGAGAACACACGCATCTTACCACGGGTCACGACAAACGGACGTATTTATTACGGATGAAAGCAGCAATAAAGTGAATTACACGCGTGTGCGTGCGTGTGTGCCTGTTCGTATGTTTGCGCGTGCATCAGTATATTTAGTTAGTTCGGACGCGAACCGATCGCCGTAAGGAGAAAAAGAAGGGTCAAGTCATTATCTTGGGGAGCATGAAAGGCGGGGTGATGAGAACAGAGCCCGGCGGCGAGGCAGGCGATAAGAAAGAAGAAAATCATTAATGACCAGGAGGTCAATGGAGCAACAGAAGAAAAAAAGCTGGTGCGTGGGTGTACAGGTCCCAATCTTAAAAGTGCACACACACACACACACACACATACACATTGAGATCCCACAGTTCAAGGGGACAAAATTGCACACAGACGGCGAGTGAGAGGGCGGGAGGAACTGGCGGGGAACAGTGCGCAATTTCGCATCTACACAACACCAAAAAGGAGTGTAAGTCGTCCTAAGCATGTAAGCACGCGCGTGCGTGCGTGCGGGGAAACGAAGTTTCTCTCTCATTTCTGCGACTTTTCCGGTGTTGCCTCCGCCTCCGTCTCCTTGCTCGGATTCGGGAAGTAGGGCGGTGGAGCGTAGGCATTAGCGGGCGTGTTCAAAGCCTCCTAGAGGTAGACAAATGTAAAGCAGAAGTTCTGGGATGAGCAGTGCAAGACTTTGCAAAAAGGAAAAGTAAAGACAGTAAAGCACGAGGTGGACGATTTTGTGGTCGGGAGTTATAAAAAGCAATCATCCTAGTACAGCAGCCCGATTTAAGCGTACAGGCATAAGGCAGTTTAAAGAGCCTTGGGCCAGAGAACAAAGTCTGTAGTAAGATGACTACAAAGGGGGAAGGATTGCGTACGTGCAATCGGCACTCGCGGGGATAACTCGCAAAATTGAAGAAAGAGGACTGAGGCGTCGAGCATGTCAACTTAAAACTAGGCTCAACACAAACTGTCAAGACATATCTGTGGTCAGTAAACTGTCAGTAGTACGTCTCGATCGCTGGAGGTGTGGGTCAAGTTCTCTAGACCCGAAACGCTAAATGCAAAGGTATGATCCGCGACATAATCG